TCGAGACTTTAAAATTCTCAAAATGGATTAAAACATGAAAATTAAGTAAAGAGTTGGGTTTTTAGAATAATCTGGTTTTTAATTAATTTTAAGAAATATTATGTTCTAAAATAAATATTTTTATTATCTTAGATTAATTGGTTGAATTTCGGGGAACCGAACCGTCGAAGCTCAATTTGCGTGATTCTCGGTTTCTGTGAGTAATATTATATATTTATATGCTTTAAATATGTTTTACTTGTTTAAATTTCCTATTTTTACATAAATTGAAAATTTATTTCAGTTATTATTCGGTTAAACTTAAATTGTTAGAAAAGTTACGAGAGACGTATATGTCATTTTCTAATTTGTGGGAAAAACTTCTGAATTTCTGATTTGAAGTACTGATACATATTTAAGACTTTGAAAATTTGAAATTTTCTCTGTTAAACTCTGATAAATGATTTTAAAGGAGTATCGTATTGTTAGAATACTATAGCTAATAGTAGTAGGCGTTAGACTGGGTGCACCCTAACCTGTATCCCCAACTAACAGGGGTGGTGCTAGACTATCACGTGTGGCTAACGTGGTAGGCTTGTTTATTGATTTCCGGCAGACTGCGAGTCACCGTCCTGATATGTGTACATCGGCATACCATGAGGTTGCCCTCCTGTTTTTGTTTAGTTCTCGGTGTCGAACTCCTTAACTTGTGTAATTTGAAAACTATGATTTTATGTTAAGAATATTTGATATATGTCTCTCGTCATATAAATATGTATTATTATTCACTGGGTCAATAGACTCATTATTTTCTTTTTCAGACTCAAGTTCGACTTTACTGACAGATCCTGCTCAGTGATAATAGTTCGCCGATTTCGATTCTGTGCTTCCAGCAGATCTGATTTCTAAGTATCGCAGTTAGTCATTGTTTTTTTTTTTAGTATGTATTTTGTTTTAGTTAGCTCTGAGATCACAGACAGGGGTTCAGATGTTAATAAGTGTATTGGGCTTTTGACAGTTTGTATCAGACTTTGATTACTGAATTATGTTAAGTTTTATTTGGTTATGTTATAATTCGGATCTTCTGAGGCTTGCAGGGTTGGGATTATCCTAACTCTAGCGCCGGTCACAGACTCAACGACTTAAACTGGTGAATAAAAACCTTAATTTCATAATTTAAGCCTTGAACTAACCAGTCTGAAATCTATGAAACCAAAATATCTTGAATTAGGCTTAATATACATTGAACTAGTCAAACCAGTGTTGAACTGGTGAATAAAAACCCTAATTTCATAATTTAAGCCTTGAACTAGCAGTTAACTAGTTGGTTTATTTGTTAATAACTCTTACTTTACCTTGAACTGGAAGTGAACCGGTTATAAACCTCTCGAATCGTATATTGATTCGGATCCAAGATTCAAATTTGGCCCAAACGTAGAAACCCAAACTCCAGAACACCTCGGATCCAGTCTAGTTAGCCCACAATCGAAAGCCCATATCTACGCCTAACAACCACGGCCCAAATTCAAACCCAAACCTTGAGCCCAGCAACTAGAAGCCCAAACCTAGTCCAACCTAGCTACACTAGAAACCCAACAGGTCTTTTTTGCTTGACCTGAGGTGGTTTAATCGATCAAAATTAGCTTCAATATTGCTCAATTTTAGCAAAAATCGATCAGCTTTGGCAAATGTATAGTATGACAAAACAGTAAGAAATTCAAGGAATTTAGAGCTTAATTGCAAAAATTAGTTTAGGGCTTTTATACCTTATACTCGGTCACGCATGAATATATAAAAATTAAAAGGAAAGCGTTTGAATTAAATGAGGATTTAATGGTTATTAATCATGGATCTTGAATGTTACAAACGGTTTCTGGATTAAATTTTTTGATTTTGTAATTTGGACCTTGGATTCTAGTTCTCATGTGATCTGATCCCTAGCAATTCTAATACTTTATGTTTGAAACCCCACAAGTTTTATTTCATTCAATTTAGCCCTTAATATTTCAATTAAACCCCATAATTTCTTATTTCTTTTAATTAGACCCTTAAGCTTTATACTTATTTTAATTAAACCCACAATTTGGAGTATTACAGTTTTCCCCTTAAAAGAAATTTGGTCCCTGAATTTAAATATCAAAATAATAAATAATCTTATGTCTCAAACAAATAGGACTATTTCAAACGCACTATTTTCTCTGACTCCCATGTCACTTCCTCTTTCAAGTGATGTCTCCGTAATATTTTTACGAAGGCTATCTCTTTAATCATTAGCTTCTTGATCTGTCAATTGACAATGGCCACAGGTTCTTCTTTATATGACAAGTCGGCATCTAATCATATCTCTTGTTGTGCTAAAACATGTAACGGGTCCAGCAAATACTTTTAAAGCATAGATACATGGAATATAAGATGCATTGTAGAAAACTTAAGTAGAAGGGCCAATCGATAAGCCACCACACTGACATAATCTAATATTTCAAATGGTCCAATGTATAGAGGGTTTCAGTTTACATTTAGATATTGGAAGGCTTTTCATGAAACTTGGGCACTCGATTGGATCTCAGTACGACTTTTCACTCTTAGACTGATGGACATTTTGAGAGGACGATTTAGATTTTAGAAGACATGTTACGGGCTTGTGTCATAGATTTTGGTGGTAACTAGAGTTAGTTTTTGCTGTTAATTGTTACACCCCACCTATCTAGCCACACGACGGAGTGTGATAGCTAGGTCAACGACCAACACCCACCGGACGAAAATCCAGCAATATGTCGGCTGCTGAATCCTTTTTGTCTAAACTCAACCTGTATCGGTAGCAATATTAATATATACTCAACATGTCATTTGCAACTCAAAGTTACTCCACAACTAATAACAAATGCCTTACTATTATTACGCATATACAACATAAATACCCCTCCAACACAAATATATGTATATCACCATCATCATCATTATCTCATAAACCAAAAGTTATATACTATGATTCGTTATACAAAAGATCATTATGCAAAAGTCTTAATATAAATGACATAACTACATTATTGCAAAATAACTCTAACTATTACAGAATATGCTCTCGACTATATCTGACCGCCTCAACTAGCGAGCTATGAAGGTACGTGTGGTACCACGTGGGTGAACATATCAACTATGTATGCCTGAAACTGTAAAAAAAAAAAAAAAATGAGAATAAAATTTTCAGTAAATGGCATGTGGACTAAACTTAGGAAAATAGAGAGGATTTCATATTTATAACATACAAATCCATCGTTTAGAAACATTTATAACAAAGGAAAGCATAAATAAGAAATATCATAACGAATGCTTTCTGTTTTGGTATAAACCAAATATACCCATAGTCTATAATAAAATATTTCAAGAAACATATCAAAGAATTACATTTAAATTATAATCATACATCGGTCATATAGCTTTGATCGATGTGCACCGCTGACAATCTCTGAGAGCAGTAAAATATTTAAAATATATTACTATCTAAATATGCCGGATGCTACTACACTGTGCAGCCTGTACTATAGATCACCACTTCAAGTCAGGTTAACATAGTCTATGGTGTTCTAAAACCCCACTAGGTCCAATGTCATGTATGTAGGACTGCCACTTGCCCCAAATGGCTATCTGGCATTCTAGCCTAAGTGCCAAAACACTAAAGTCTCATGAAATCATGTAAAACCCACATATATGATAAAGTAGAACATAAACATTGTGTTTCTATGTTTTCATACCAAATATACACTAATGGTTTTAAAACAGTATATGTTTTCACTAAAACATACATTTAATTAAAAGGTTAAGCTTAGAAAATATGTCATTCACTTAAGGTAGATTACCATGAACATAGATTCATCCAAATATAATAAAATCTAAAGCTATTTTAGCTAAATCCACCAAAATCATGTAATATTTCATATGTGTGAGGTTAAATCCACATTTCTCTCTCTACAACACACAAATATCATCAAATACAAAATCTACATCGATTAGAAGCTCTAAAATGGATTATATAAGCTAGATGTACAAAAATTTGGAAGAAAAACATGAAAAATTGTGACTTGGCGCTACGGTGCAGTCTGGCGCTATAGCGCACACATTCCAATGCCCAACGCATTATAGCTTGTCTAGGCATAACGCACTGGGCACACTAAAGTGCCAAAATTTCAAAATGCAGCACGCTATTATAGTACTGTTATAGTAATTTTTTTTTCTTTTACAAAACTCAACTTATCTCCAAACTTTCATATAGGTTTCTCTTCACCTTAAACCCCTAAAATTCCTTCCAAATAAATTTTAAAACGAAACCAAATATGTAAAATTATATAACCAAAATTGAAATCGGTTTGGGTTGTCATATTAATAGAGTTTGCTTATAATAACAGTTATTAGGCGAGTATTCAGATGGCACCTTTCAAGGCCTTTTATGGGCGGCATTGTAGATCTCCAGTAGAATGGTTTGAGATTGGGGAAGCTAAGCTTTTAGGTCTGTACTTGGTACAGGACTTAATGGACAAGATTCTGTTAATCAGACAGAGATTATTAGTTGCTTAGAACAAACAGAAAACTTAAATTGATCAGAGTCGAAGGGAGCTTGAATTTGTTGTAAGAGAGCATGTGTTTTTACGAGTTTCATCCTTAAAGGGTATCACGAGAATTTTGCTCCTCATGCGATCTAGCCTCGGCAATTCTAATACTTTATGTTTGGAACCCTAAAAGTTTTATTTCATTCAATTTAACCCTTAATATTTCAATTAAACCCCCTAATTTTCTATTTCTTTAATAAGACCCTTAAGCTTTATATTTAATTTAATTAACCCCACAATTTGGGGTATTGCACCTCCAAACCAAAAAAAAAAATCTACAATCCCTTAGCATATAATAGACCTTGCAGGAAGCGTTGGCACATAATAATAAAAACAACATTCTACTTCAAAAAAAAAAAATTCAACCAGCAGGCATTAGATTTGTAACCTCAGAAGGTGGAGAGCTAGATAAGACCATTAAGACTGGATTCGGAGATTAGATTCATCATTCTGCATGGGTACTGCGAGGTGGCCCTTCTCTTGCAGGTTCTTGACTGTCTCATGCAATGCCTGCTCCACCGGCGTGAACTGCAAACCCAAGTCCTTCAGCTTTTGGTTCGAGAACTTGTATGGTTTCAGCCTCGGCTTTGTTTCATCCTTGCTCCTTCATTTTTAACAAAATATAGTAAAAGTTAAAACTAACATATCAACATTCTGCTTTCAGAAACAAAGAAAATATTTTCAAAACCAAGTACCAAATATCCCTGTCATGTCATTGCCAGGCAGAAAGCTAAATTTTTTGCAAAAGAAAAATGCAATCAAAGTTCATAAAACAATTTAATTTACTACCACGCCACATTTCTCTGTCAATTAGCAGAAACATATAATAATAAGAAGAAAATAAAAAATAAAAAGAAAGAAATGAAACATTGAAAGTGAATTCTGTGGAGTTGGGCAATTCGGGTCTGACGAGTGACAGGGACTTGGGGATAGATAAGGACCCTCCACGCCCACGAGTTCTTATTTTTGTTTTGTTTTTTTTTTGTTTTTTTAAATGGATCATCGTGTCCCACATTTGGTTCAGAATTAAAATGTTTATATCTTTAATCATGAATCATGTATTATTAGTCAGAGTTTGGTCACCTACTACCCCACCGCAAGAAGAAAGCTTGTGACTAGTCAATAATCCTCACCGAGCGTCTACCAGTAAAATTTTTAGAGAAAACAAAGATAATTGAACTGACTTCAAGGGAATGGGATACTCCGGAAAGAACTTGGCCAGAATTTCCACCACATCTCCCCGATGAAGCACCCTCTCGGCGCATAAGTAGCGGCCGGAGGCGGAGGGAGTCTCGTAGACCAGAATGTGGGCCCGTGCCACGTCCTCCACATGCACGTAGCCTTGGACGGCATTGGTGTAGTTCTTGGTGGAACCGTTAAGGTACTTGAGAATGTGAATGATGCTGGCATTGACAGTGGGTTGCAACAGTGGCCCGACTACCAGCACCGGGTTCACCACCACTAGGTCCACCCCTTTCTCCTTCGCAACATCCCATGCCGCCTGCTCTGCCACTGCTTTCCCGTAGCAGTACCAGTTCTGCGGTTACATTTCACCCGTCAAATTAAGTCAAAATGAGACATAACTGTTCATAACTTATAATGGATAGAAAGAGGATCCAAACATCAAAACGCCGATCTACGGAGACCAAGAAAAAGGCCAATCCTTCTTTCCCAGTGGCTCGGTCCAATTGGCCCGACAGAGGCCAATTTCCATAACCTTTTTCTTATTTTTCTTTGTTTGATTTGCTTAAATAAATTAATAATATTTTAATTTTCAATTATACTAATTTTTTTTAAAATTTTCTGAAGCTGTGAAGAAGGGTTCTTATTAACAGTAAAATGAGGAGAAAGATAGGAAAGGATAGGGGCATTTTTGTCCAAGAATTAGAATTTTTTGGATTTCGAAGTCAAATCTCATAGCATTTGACAAAAAGTAAAATTTGATATTTACAAAAATTTGAAAAAAATGGGATTTGAAATTAGAAATAAAATTTTTATTACTACACCTTTCTTTTATTAATAAATTATAAAAAATTGTTTCTACTATTTTATAACAAATAAATTGATCATACTACTTTCCAACAAAAAAATTTCTTCACTTTAGAAATAAAATGATAGAATTCACAACAGCTATAAAATTACATAATTTGAAATATTTCATCAAAATTCAGCTGTCATTCTATAACAAGAATAAATAAATGAAGGAAAAAATTATTAGAATAGACTTATTACAATATGTTTGGTATTAGAATTCATTTAATTTTAAATTTTTTGTGTTGGTATAAAAAAACTGATTTTTCATAAAATGTAGTTTCTATAAAAAAATTATTTTTTTAAAATCAAATGTATTAGGAAAATAAATTCTCAAAATGAACCAACTTTAAAAAAAAATTTCTAATTTCTTGATAAACAATTGATTTAATTTTTTTTCATCGAACTAAATATTATATATAAAGATGGACCTTTTGTTCAAAAATTCATTGTGAGTGAGTTGCTTCCTATGACCCATTTGTGCATTCGTCTGATCCATACATACATAAGTGCTAATACAGGGTCTTAAATTTACAATAAATTAGTCTTTTAATAAAAATTAAATTTTAAAAAAGGTTAAAAAAGCAAGTTAGAAGAAATGAATTAAATTTACTATTTAACTATATAGGATACTAAAAATGGATTATACATTTTTAAAATATTTCATTTACTTTTAAAAGTTGAGTTAAGAAATAATCTTAATGAAAGGGGCAGGAATTAGAAAAATAACTTAACTTTTTAAAATAAATTTTCTCAAATCCAAATCCGTTGCAATCTTACCAATTTTAATATAATTTCAAGAGATTTCAACATTTTAAGTGAAATTCGATCAAATTTGGTAAAATCTAAATCTCATTTACTAATTTTTTCTATTCAGAAGGTTGAAATGTTAATTCTATCAACTCCCGTCAAATCATTAATTGCCACACAGTCGGTTAAGCTAAAACAACCTTCTTATGCACTAAATAGAGTAGAGAGTTTTGATCATTTCAGTTGCTCAATTAAGACCCATTTATATCCTTCTGTTCTGTTTTGTTTTACATCAGTGCTTGAACCAGTGCCGTGCACGAGGTGAAAAAAAATATAACAAAAATAATATTACAAACAAAAACTTTATTAAATTAAATAAAATAACATAAAATATAAATATTATAATTCTTAAAATAAAATATTAAAAAATAATATTAAAATTCATGTTGAAAACTTGAATAAAAAATGAAAAATTTGAGACGGCAACCAAACTCTATACTTCTTAATTGAATTTGTCTACAGTCAATAATTATATTTTAGTTTAATATTTTTACTTTTATAATTCTATTTTAGATAAATTAATGATATTGGATAGACATGCTTTATTATAATTCCAATAAATATAGATCTTCGTTTAAGTAATATATGCGATATGCTATATACCATAAATAAACTAGTTTTAAATTAAAACATAAACTAGTATTAAAAAAATATATAGTAAGAATTAAATGCATATTTTGTGATCATATTTTTTGAAATACTTCTTTATAGACAACATTTTTTATTGTATGACACGAATTTTCAAGTTCATCACAAATTAAAGATTTGAACAGGTGGGTTTTAATTTTTTAATTTTTCTTTAAATCCATAGATTAAATTCAATTAAATTTCATAGTTTATATATATAAATCACCGAACACAAAAATGAAAATTGCTTCCTTGCCACAATTCAAATTTGTCCTGACCTAATTGCTTCTCTTCAAGTGGAAGGTCACACAACATAGAGTAATTAATTGTATGAATTTTAAAATAAATAATTTATTTTCAGTACAAAATATAGATCTATTAAAATATTCATATATTAAAAAATGAAACATATATGGATTAATTATTACCAATAATTTAATAACATATATTTACAACGTGTATGTGTGTGAAAATAGGAAACAGACGAGAGAATTAATTATTAAAAAAAGAATTAATTAAGTGATTCCACGTATAGCAAACATTTGAGAATATGACACTGGAAACTTCTTTTTAACAAATCAGTTTTCTTTTATAGTATTAAAATATATACACAAACAAAATTTATGTATCAGAGCGCCATATATCATGATGTGGAATTTGGTTTTTATTAAGTAATTTATTAATTTATTGTATTATCGAATATTTTTTTTATAGTAAAATATAAATACCATATATATATATATATGAATAAAAGAAATATACTAGAATTAATTATTATAAAAGAAATTATTACATGAATTCACTAATTATTAAAAAAGAATTAATTAAAATGATTCCATGTATACCAAATGTTAGAAAATCATACATGAAAAATTCTTTTTTGCAAACTGGTTAGTCTTTGTATTATTATTATTATAATAATTATTATTAAAAGGTGCAGAAATTTACAATTAAATACATGTAATTAAAGAAATACCAACTTTCTCCATTAATCTTTTTGTATTTATTCAAAATCAATTATACCTAATTTTAAAATACAGGATACCTACACCCTCCGCAAATACAGAAAAACTCAATTTTCCACTTTAACAGCTCATTTTCATTTAAAAGACAAGATCAGTTGAAGGTGATAAATACTTAATCAAGAAAAAGAGAAATGATAAATAAACCTTGGTGGATTTGCAGAACTCGAGGTCACTCCAGCAGCCCTCGTCGACCACCGTCTCAGGGTCCCGATTGGGATCCATCGTCACCGTCCCGATCGACGACGTGAACACCACACGCCGGACCGTCGCCTTCGCCGCTGCAATTATCACGTTCTTCGTCCCGTTCACCGCAGGCTCCAGCATTGTTTCCTTCATATTTTTCCACAAGTTAAACATGTTTGGCTTCAGATGAAGTAACCGAAAGATTAAATAACCATAACAATCGAATACGATGCCCTCCCAGGAGACAGTAATTATTTTAGTTGGGAGGATGTTTCTCAGTTACGTGAATGTAGTCAACTACGAAATTGAGATTAATGCTTTCACTTTTTTGTTTGGCATTTTCCTTTTCTTTTATTTTTCCTTTGAAATGAAACCTAAAAGAGGGTTCGGTTCCTTTTCTATTCGACATTTTCCTTCGGTTTCCTTCTATTTCTCCGGTTCCTCTCCCACCAAAGAGATGGTTTGCGTAAAGAGATGACAAACTTACTGGGTCATCGGTCACAGGGCACGCGGTGTGGAAAACCCCATTACACCCATTAATGGCTTCGCGTAAACTCTTGTAATCGAGAAGATCAGCTTTGCACAGAATCAGTCTCTCCTTTGCTCCTTCAAGCTCTCTCAGATGATCATTCTTCGCATCATCTGCGAACACACGCACAAGTCTATTAAATGAACTACATACTTCAGTGGCAATCTAATCGCTTGCATAAACGTATATATATATAGTCGAGCTCTTGCCTGGGTTTCGGACGGTGCCCCTGACGGAATATCCCTTCTTCAAGAGCAATTTGATTATCCACGAGGCTATGAAGCCACCAGCACCGGTAACGCAAACGGTCTGCCGGAAACCGACGGCATTGTGGCTGTTTCGAGGAGAGCTGTGAAGGTAATTGGCGATTGGAGTTTCGGGAAGATAGAGGGAGAAATGAAAGTTGCTGCACCGGACCGTGAAGGAAGGGAAGCCTGCGTGTTAGGGGTAAATAATGCTCACCTACTTCGGTTAGACGGATAGGTCCTGAGTCAGCTTTTCTGGAAGTCGGTGCTTTTACAGGCTATAACATAGTTGGAAGGAAAGAATTTTTAGAAACTGAGAGTAACAGGAAAGAGACTCTTTAATGATTTTCAATTTTTAGCCTGACATAAGATGAAAAAATTTTCTATTATTTATACTAGTGGCATATTTAAAATAAATGGTTAGGATTGTCTTTATGTATTTTCATTCTAGGGGTGTTCAAAATCAAATCGGATTAGTTAGATCGGCCCAATCTGAACCAAATCAATCAAAAATTGAATAAAATCGAAAGAAATCAGTTTGATTCGGTTTTAAGAGCTTTTAAAATGATTGGTTTGGTTCAGTTTTCGATTTTGACCCCCAAAAAAATCGAATCGAACTGAACTAGTTTATTTATATAAATAGAAAAAGAAAACCCTAAGTTTCCTAACTCTCCATGCTCTCTCTCTCTCTGACCCAAACGCACCCTCTCCTTCCTTCCCCACCCCTGTTCGTGCAACAAAGCTAGGGCCGCAGTGGACACAACCTTCACGAGCAATATTCGACAATGGTGACGGATCTGCTCTTCTCCTTGCATAGGTTCACCCAGCAAACCTTTATTCCTGTTATTTGCTTCTTCTTCTTCTTTTTATTTTGCTCATTGATTTGGGTTTGCTATGGACAAACACCTATCGCAGTCGCCAACGACCTTCTTTCTACTATTGCGACGCCGACGACAACCTTCCTTTTGCAAGGGCTTGGATTTTTTTCTCGTAGGTTAGATTGTTTTTGTCTTCTCCGTCATAGTGTGAGGAAGATTTTTCTCTGTGTATCCAAATCCTAAATTTTTTTTTTATTTTTTTCTTTATCCTTTTTTTTGGGTTTTTTTTAGGGGGGTGGTGTCGTGGCCCGAATCTGGGCCTGTGGCCGACACTAGAGTACCTCGACCCTAGTCAGCCTTAAAACAACAAACCATACTTATACTAACCAAAACATATACATATACATATACATCTCAATCCGTTCAATACAACATCAGGATCCTATCTAAGTGATAAGAAGAGCACTAGAGTACAAAATAAATAAACAAAAAGCTTGCTCGTACATCAGACAGGACTGCCGATGACCGCCTCACCTCTGGCACGCCACTTGAGAATAGCAATCCAAATCTGAAAAGTTTATAAAAAGTGAGTCGCGAAACTTAGTGAGTACGGATGATACCTAATCTATGCATGTTGGACCATGCGACACGCCACACATTTCAAACCACACAAATATCGACATGCACACAGTAAGCAATACCGGCACCCAAGACATTCACGTGTGGTAGTACTATGATCGCTGAGACTCTAGCCTCGATCGGAGGAATTCTCATTCTCGCGATCAGGCCCCAACACACTCACACACCATGCTCTTGGTTAAGAGGCATCCTCCATCTCACAACCGGAGCCACACGCCCACCAAGGACACTACCACACGCTCCCGGTCGAGAGGCATCCTTCATCTCACGACCGGAGCAATCGGTCTCAGCGCATCATGGACTTTCCACACATCCAAACAAACAGATGTACAAGCATATGCAGTCCACAAGCCTCAAAGCCAATCTCACATACTAACATAACCCGCTAAACAGCAATGAAACACATAACACATATTTCGTGGTTCATGCATCAAAACACAATTTGTACATTCATGCAGTCATCATGCTGTGAAAACAAGTGTGAAACTACATGCATAGAGAAGGTAGCATCACTCACAGTACAAGGCTGAAAAAAGGACTCTCGATCTCCTTCACTCGATATGCTGACCCGGACACGCCTCCTCCGGTGTATCTGTAACCAAAAATACATGAAACCATCATCAACGCTGAAACCGGCACAAGGAACAGACTCGGTAGCCTCAAATCGGGCTCAAATCCCAATTTGACCCCTTAAGCACGCATTTTGAGGCAAAATGACCTATCGCCGGAACCTATGTGACTCACTAACATGCAACCGTCTAGCTTAACCACTCACAATGCTATTAAACCAACCTTCAAAATCCCCAATTACAGTGGACCAGTCTCCAAAACCCTCAAACTGGCTTAACCCGATCCCGAAACTACTTCGAGCTCAACTTGATTGGCCACGAAAATCTCAAAATCGAATCCAGAAGACCCAAAAACCGTAGGAACCATATTAACCTGGCCAAAAATCTCTAAAGTTAGGCCGAACCGGGCTAAAAACCCTAATTCTGGACATCGACACGTAAATCGAGGCCAATTCACCTCGAACCGGACCTCCAAACCTTACCAAAGTTCATGGTCAACTAGGTTTTATCATGTTGAACCAGGAACCAATTCAATCTCCCCAAAACCAGCTTAAAAACCGATGAACCGATCACCCGAAGGAATTACACTAAATCGGCCGGTTCACCTCAAACCGGTCATCCAAAATTTTCCGAACCCACTTGGTTTAATAGGTTTTTCCTCCCTGAACCCAGAACCGGTCAGAAATCCAAATTCCAAATTAAATGGGCCACTAAACCGGCCGGTCAAAGCCCCGACCAGTTCGGTCAAAAAGCCCTCTATTTTTTTTTTTCAATTCAGTCCCCGTATCTTTTGTTCTGCTCATTTTAATTCGCCCATCTTTCAATTTCACCCTAAAACTCTTAATTTAATCACCTATACCCCTATTCCATACTCTGGGTTATTACATTCTCCCTCCCTTATAGAAATTCGTCCCTGAATTTTGAAATTTGTGAAAAGATAGAACAGAAATTGGTAATACCTAAACCTTTACAAAATTTACAACAATCGTACCTGTAATCGTTGTATTGGACGCCGAAGCGTTTTGTCGAGTCAAAGCATATACTTGGGCCCGCCCTTGACCCTAGCCTTTACCACCTGTCCCCTGACCACGCGAACCCGACAACTCGACACTTGTCTGTCCCTCAGCTTGTGATAGGGTGCTTGCTGACAACATAGCCCCTGACAAAAGCGGGCAGTACCTCGCTATGTGTCCTGACTGTCCACAACTATAACAAACTCTCGTCGCTCGACCAACCTCCTGCGAGCAGTCTCTAGCCAAGTGTCCTTGCTGACCACATCGATAACAAACCCCTAGAGCTCGAGGGGCCTTTTGAAAGGATGTGCAATCCCTAGCCACGTGGCCCTGCTGGCCACATTTGAAACATGCTCCTGTCGCTCTAGGACACTGGCCTATATGTACGCGGCCGCATCTGGCACAACCAGGGGTAGAAGAGATACGACTATCAAACGAGGTTACATTGCCTGATGGCTGTCTGCTAGTGGACCTACTATGCAAAAAGGGTCCCTTCCTAGAACTAGAATTGCCACCATAAGAACTCTCAACCTTCATCCTCTTCCCCGATCCCACCGAAATCTGTCCCGGCCCCCTAGAGGACTCCAAGAACCGAGCACTCTCTACTGCACAAGCATAACTAATATGCCCTACTTGCGCTCCCAATTCCCAATATAAGGAAGGAGATAGTCCCCAGATAAATCTTGTGGCTCGCGCAGTATCGTCAATGACGAGCCTGACAGCATATCGAGATAGCCATGTGAATCGCTCCTTGTACTCAGAAACTGTCACACCCAGAGTCTGTGCTAACCTCTCGAACTCGGTAGCCAACTCCACCCGCCGGCTGGTAGGCAAAAATCTCTCTAAAAACTCCCTACGAAACTCCTCCCAGGCCAGAGGAGCCGCACCGACAGGTCTAATAGCCACTAACTGATCATACCACGCCTTGGCCGCCCTTTTAAGTCTAAACATAGCCAAATCCATGCGTCTACGGTCAGAGCATTGTAAAATCTGAAATATGCTATCCAAAGCATCCAAAAACTCCTAGGGGTCCTCCGTCGCAATCGACCCAGAAAAAGTAGGAGGATCCAGCCGCAAAAAATCTTGAAAATATCCATCAAAACCCGACTGCTACTGTACCAGGGCTGAACCAATTAGAGTAGTAGGAGTGCTCATCGGTGCACTAGCTGGAACCAACAACTCTGGTGCTGCCCCTCCAAGAATAGTGGTAGCACCTACCTGTCCACTGGCTGGGGTCGACTGCCCATTCGCTCTAACTCCACTCTCCACAAACTCTGTCATACTCCTCTAAAGTCCCTGAATACCCTCCAAAAGGCCTATTAACAACCCAGGCAACATAGTCAAATCTAGACCTACCACCGACTCACGTGTCGGCCTCGCCGCCCTCCCACGTCTACTAGTCCTCCTTCTCCTCTCCCTCTCCCTCTCGTCGGAGGTGGAGCAGCTACGCCGGCGGGGTCCTCAGACACATCGGGATCTACAGTCTCTCGAGGAGTAGTATGCGCATCGCCCTGAGGATCCATCTACACCACGCGATAGAGTTAGAATAACACTAAACAATACGGGCGCAAAGGAATTCAAAACTGACGCTAAACACACCCTAAGAGGTCCCCGGCAGTCTTCTTGTTATGAAAGTGGGGCCTCACCTTCATAACAGAAACACTGTCCAAGAACCTTGCTCCCTTATCCTCAGAAGAACCTCGCTCTGATACCACTCTGTCACAGCCCGAATTCGGGCCTGTGACTGGCACTAAAATACCTCGACCCTAGTCAGCCTCAAAACGACAAACCATACTTATACTTACCAAAACATGTACATATACACATACATCTCAATGTGTTCAATACAACATCAGGATCCTATCTGAGTGATAAGAGGAGCACTAGAGTACAAAATAAATAAACAAAGAGCTTGCCCGTACATCAAACAGGACTGCCGATGACCGCCTCGCCTCTGCCACACCACTCGAGAAGAGCAACCAAAATCTGAAAAGTTTATAAAAAGTGAGTCGCGAAATTCAGTGAATACAGATGATACCTAGTCT